AGTGTCCAGCTGCATCTGTAAGACAACAGCTGTTTAGGAGGTTACAAGTGCCGGTGAAAGGTGGATGAAAGGAGGATTCTGGAGACTTGACCAGCTATGAGTGTCGGTGCCTAAACCTGTCTGTGAAGGGATGCCATTGTCAAGGGCACAGAACCAGAACCATTGTCAGGCAGATCAGCCATCACGTAGAGCTGTGCTAGGCCTCTCATGGAGAGTGGTCATGAAAGAAGAGTGCCCCCATTGAGTAGTAAGAATAGGGGGCCTCCATTTGCCACAGTGAACATCTGATAGGGGAAAACCGAATTTTCCAGCCTAAAAGTCAATTGGCCTCAATTGGCTTCCCTGGAGTCCTCAGATCTCCTACATCTAGCTCATATAAATGTCACAAAATGTCAATCACATTGACAAGTGTACCAAAAGCATGACCAGTGGAGATGGGGTTGGATTGCTTTGGAACTGCTATGAGTTGGGGAAGAAGGACATGCCTTGACATTTGAGGGGTCATGCTGGGATGTAACAGGCAGGAAGCACCTTGGGTTTGGCCATTAAACATGTTATATGGTGCTGGAGAGATGGCTCAGCAGTTAAGAGCTCTGGCTGCCCTCCCAGAGGTCCCAAGTTCAATTCCCAGAAACCATGTGGTGGCTCACAACTATCTATAATGGGATCTGATGTCTCCTTCTGGCATGCAGGTGCATATACAGATAGAGCGCTGAGAGAGAGAGAGAGAGAGAGAGAGAGAGAGAGAGAGAGACTCTTAACATGTTGTGTGGGCCAGAGTTGGTGAGGTTTGTTCGGCCTTACCTGGTCCTGCCTTCAAGCTGCTGAAGTCCATTTTTTTGGCTGGGCTCTTGACTCTTTGTTTGAAGTCTAGTTCACTTGGATGCTTGGGGCCAGGATTTCACAATGACCCACAGACTCTTGCTCTGCCTCACATCACAGCTTATATCTGATTTCCTTATGTCCTGAATGCAGAGGGATTATGTGAACGAGTCGGGCTATTTGGAATGTGCTTTCTGGGTGTCCTCACACAGTCAGAACTAAATCGTCAACTTTGTCAATTGCCTTTTGCTTGGCTAAATGCTGATAGTTACTCTTTGCTTCTTAGTAACATTTCCTTGTTACTGCTGTTCCTTGATGTATTGTTTTTGTTCGCTTAGATAGAAACATTAGTCAGGGTTCTCTAGAGGAATAGAACTGATATGATGAATATAATTTACAGAGGGAATTTATTAGAGTGGCTTACCAGGTGTGGGCTGGGCCATACAACTGTGGCTGTGTGCTCATCCATAAGGCTGTGTGTCTCTGTAGTCCCAGTCTGGCACCAAAAGTTAAGAGAGCCACTGGTTTTTATTTTATGGTAGAAAACTAAAGAAGCTAGGTTTTGATGGAAGCAGCAGCAGCAGCAGCAGCAGCAGCAGCAGCAGCAGGATCAATGCACTCACCGAAAAAAGTGAAAACAAGCAAGGAGCTCTGCTTTTTTTTTCTATGAAAACATTTATATCTGGTCTGCAAGAGAGGTGCTAACCATTCAGGTGGAAGGTCTCCCCACTCAGTTAATCCTTCCTGGACATACCCTCAAAGATCTTCTGCTAGCATAGTTCTTAGTAAATTCTGGATCCAGTCAAGTAGAAATCAAGATAAGCCCAGCTAAGCTTTGCCAAGGAGCCTGAGGATCTGAGTTTGATCCCTGGGACCCACAGGGTGGAAGAAGAGGGACTCTCACAAGTTGTCCTCTGACCTCCACACTTGTTCCATGGTCCACACATGTGTGTCTGAGAGCTTGAACACACACACACACATACACACACACACACACACACACACACACACACACACCAAATAAATAAATAAATGTAGGAAATTTTAAAGGTTAACTACAGCAACAAGATTCTACTATGTATCCCAGGCTTGACTCAAACTCTCAGTCCTCCCTACTTCAGCCTCCAGGGTGCTGAAGTTACAGGCACTGTCCATTCACTGTCCTGGCTATGTTTCCATTGCTGTGGTAAACACCATGACCAAAAGCAACTTGAGATTACACTCCGTTGTGTAAGAAAGGCAGGGCAGAAGCTAAAGCGGAGACCACAGAAGTGTGCTGCTTATTGACTTGCTCAACTTCATTTCTTATGGATCCTGAGACCACCTGTCTGGGGATGGCACTGCCCAGGATGGCACTGCCCTCAGTGGGCTGGGCCCTTTCACATCAATCATCAACCAAGAAAACACCTCTTAACAAGCTGTGTTCATTAACCTCTCTATACAGAACCTGGAATCTGCAAGCCTTCCAAAAAAAAAAAAAAAAAGGGCCAGGCATCAGAAAAGGATTTATTTGGGTGTTCTCCCTTTTATTTGTGTGTGAGAGGTATGCTCTCATGTATCCTAGGCTGCCTTCAAACTCGTGAGCCCGGGATGACTTAGACCATCTGACCCATGGCTTCTCCAAGTTTTATTCCTATCTCTAAAATCAGAGTTATAATGAGAACTGTTTCCCTCATTACTGTTTTGTTGTTTTTGTTTGGTTGGTTTTGCTTTTTTCTGTTAATTGTAAGAACATTTTAGTATTTTTTTCTCTCCAGAAGGTTTCTTTTTCTAATAGCTTTATTGAGGTATATCACCGCATCCATGCATTTAAAATATATAATCCAGTAGTATTTTATTCATCCCTTTTCTTTCCTTCCTCCCTTCCTCTCCTCTCTCGGTGTTTTTGAGACACGGTTTCAATTTAGCTTAAGCTGGCTTAGAACAAGCCTCCTGCCTCAGACTCTCAAACATTGCATTACAATCATAAGCCACCATACCCAGAAACTTTCATGGTTTCATTTTTAAGTATATATATATATATATATATATATATATATATATATATATATATATATATATATATATATATATATATATATATATATTTAAAGATGGATATATATAATCCATCTTCCTCTGCAGCTGGATTGAATACCCGAGTCCAGGAGATAGCAAACTTACACGGGTCAGCTAAATCCCACCAACCAGATGTTTTTGGAAACTTTTATTAAAACACAAGCCTGGTCACTTGTTTATTTTCATCCATGGCCGTTTCTATACAATAGTGCTTAGCTGAGTGTTTTCGAGAGACCACAGTCCCACAAGACAAGATACTGCTGTCTGGCTGGTATCAAAGAGTTTCCAGCCCCGGCCTCGTCCACAGTCTGACTTAACTTTATAGTCTTGCTTTACTGAAGTGCTTTATCCTTGTTGGCCACATTCAGTGGTCTGTAGAAGAAATCTGTATTAGCTCTTTCCTGTTCCTCTGTCACTCTGGCTTTGTTTCTTGCTTGCTTAAAATACCCAGGCTCATTAGTGTTCCCCCAGCTGCCCAGCTGCTTTTTTCCCTCCATGTCCCAACTCAGTCTTGGTTGGGACCACCAGTCTCTCTAGGTAAGTCAGGAGGTCTGGGGTAAAGGCGGAGGCCAGTGGAAATAAAGCAAATAATTTACAGAGAAGACCAGACCCCTAACTCTGAACTGTCTCACCCCCCACCTTCTACTGTCTCAAATTCTCTGTCCTGTGGTCACATGCAGAAACTCAGGCTCGTGAATTTCCACCTTGTTTCTCAGGTCACCTGCAGAGACTAATTTCTTAGTAACGAAATTCCCGAGGGATGTGCTTGTTGGCTCAACATGGACCAGGTGTTCTCCAAGGCCCATGAGCTGGGAGAAAGGGGTGAATCCTGTGGTGGGAACATAACAGCACTCACATGACAGTCATGTGACCAGAGCTGGAGAGGACCGAGGGACGGATGGTGCTCCTGGCTGGCTGCCGCCTGCACCTGCAGAACATGCCAATGACGCATCCGGGAAGGTCAGGACTTTCAGCTGCTCAGGTCCTTCTGGACCATGTTTAAATGTAACCTTAAGCAACACCTACCACGCTAAGGGCCTATGCTTGAGGGGTGTAGGAAGGGGTACAGGACTCAGAGCCGTTTCCAAGCCTGAGCTGTGGTGGGGTTAGCTGTCTGCTTTGTGCCTGCTCTATTAAAAGAGGTTTACTAAGAATGTGTTTTGTTTTAATTATGTATGCTTGCCATGTCTGTGGAATGTACATACACGCAAGGAGGCCAGAAGGGGGTGTTAGATCCCTTAGGGCTGGAGTGAAAGGTGGTTGTGAGATGCCCCATGTGGGTGCTGAGACCAGAACTCAGGGCCTGTAAGAGCAGTAAGTACTCTTAACCACTGAGCCATCTGTACTTTCCTTGTCTGTGTCTCTCTACCTTCTGTGGAAACTGCATGTTTATCCTTTCAGAGCTCCTTCCACGTGCAACCTGTTCGCATTTCCTGTGTTTGGATTTGGTGAGTCATTTAGTGTCTGAGGAGATTCTCAGGGCACATCAGTTGAAAATGAAGCACCCATCAAGGCAGGTGTGGTAATATGGCCTTAAAAATATCTTGGTCAGTGGCAACATCATTATGGGTCCAGGGACTTTCCAGAGATCTGTGGAAATCTGACTTTGCTGCGAGATTTATGACATTGATGTAGAAGAGGAACACACCAGGCCCCTTCTGGGCTGACATCTGCTTTCACTGTGTGTCACAGCATAAAGTACAGACTGTGGTCTGCTGGGTGCATATGTCTCTCATCTGCTCTGTAGGGTCCTTCATAATCAAAGAATCAACTCCTTTAAAAAAAAGTCAGAAAATCTACCCAGACAAGCAAAATCAAACTTGGGAATCAGGTCACTCGACTGCCGAGCTTCTCTTTCTAAACAGACCATTGGTAAGAACCCAAACTCCAGTTCCATGATGGAAGCCTGTTTTTCGGAAGGAAGCGGAGGCATCTGTCTTGTTTAAATTAAGGGTCTTTAAGTACCAGCCAGGGACTGGGTTGACAGCCATTCCTGTAATAAAGTAATGAATCGGGATAGTTAAGGAAGCAAGAGATGCCACATTCTCGCTTTGTTAAAACACTTAAGCAATAAGCCATCTGGGTCCTTTTGTTAATCACCACAATGCACACAACAGAATTTAGTCTTTTATTAAATTATATTAATTTATCCCAACAACTTCAACTACTCACAAAGCTAATATTGGAGTTCATTTCAAAATAAAGCTATTTCAAAATGTTTGTTCTTCAGCCATACTACCCTTTACAAGGTTGTCATTTGAACAATTTTCACTTCATCCAGGTCTGAAGGAAGAAGCCAGTGGCTATCCCTTCATGGGGGTGGACCTGTCTGGTGCTAGCCAGTACTACTGTTTGTGATGGTGGCTTATTTATAACTGTGTTCTCAGGTTCAGTAGCCATTAGCCAAAGGTGGCTACTGAACCCCTGAAATGCAGCCAGTACAACCAAGAAAGAGTTTGAAAATTTCCAGAATTGCAGTGAATTCCCATGAGAATGGCCACAAACCCAGTGTGGATCATTTGGGATAAGGCTGGAGAAATGCAGTGGGCATTGTCTTGGAAGATGGAGAAGGAATATGCATTATGTCAGGTATTGTAGAAACCCGCACTTATTCCTCAGTTCTTCTTTCAAACAATTGTATTCTGAGACAGCCCAGAGGACAAAGGCATCTTTAACAGCAAGGTTCTAAGCTTGCCATCTAAAGAGCTAAATCCATCCAGAGAGAAAAGGCCAAGTTTTTTTTCTTTTTTTTCTTTTTTTCCTCAAAGTACCCTAACTCACTCAGCAACCCTTGTGGTGGATTTCCCCTCAACTGGGGGAGCATTTAACTGGAAGCCTGATTTAGGGTCTCGAACAATCATTAAGGGCTCATAGATGGCCCTTTCAAACGTCAGGGATATTTAATAGCCAGATTTATTTAGCCTTGTGAAGATTTTGGCTTTTGATGCCGGCATTTCCCTTCAGGGGAGGGTTGCCCGCTTTCCAAGGCTGCTATTCCTCGTCAAGCGAACACTGCTCTCCTAACAGGGCATTAGGAGAGTTTCTCTACTGTGATGCTGTTGTTCATGACAACGCTCCGATGTCAGATGCCAGTGCAGGTGGCATTGCAAGGAAATCTGGTTGTGCATGCCTGAAATGGATGGGGCTAGAGAAGGTGAATGGAGGAAGAAAGCTTCAAGGAAACTGTCCTGAAGACGAACAACATTGGTCTTCCTCCCAGCCCCACCCCATTCCTCTCTGTCTGCTCCGCTTCTGTTGGAGCCGGGGTTTAAGGAATGAACACTAAATACATGTGAATAAGCCTAATCAAAAGGTTGGGACCGACAGGCCGTCACATGCCCTTCACCACGAGCCATGTGCTCCGTCCCAGTAAGGGCTCCGTGAGGTTAGGACATTTATCTTCTGGATTTTGATGACCCCTGGAAGTGCTGTCACATGATGCCAAGGCCTGCCACAGTCTGGGGATAAAAGCAAATGTTAAGTGGGCGGTGGGGGGCGGAGGGAAGGGGAGTCTGCTCTACCTCATGATGGTCATTTCTGGTGATGAGGACAATGAATCCATTGTTTTTCTTTCAAAAACAAACAAGCAAACAAAGTACCAACATAGCTGGGAGGTGCTAGGGCACGCCTTTGATCCCAGTACTCCAGAGGAAGAGTCAGGTGGATTTCTGTGAGTCCAGGACAGCCCAGTGTACAGAGCGAGGCTATACAGAGACACAACAAAAACAACAACAAAATAAAAACCAAAACAGCCTACAGTCAATGACACAAGATATAAGGAGAGATTTTTCTGTTTTTACGGCACTTTCCTCTCTCCTAACCAGAAGCGCAGGCACAGAGCCTGGTTCAGGAGACACCAGAGCAGAAATGCGATGCTGAGTGTGTGCTTTGCTCCCATCTATGTCTCTCATCGTTCATCCACAGGATGGACCTGGTCAAATCGCCACAGCTGGCTGGTTTCACCATCACACTGACGCAAGTACAAATCCTTACTGTTCGGCTGAACCCCAGCATCCATGCATTTCCCAGAAAGAATATGGACGATCATTCCATCCTGAAAACAGAAAGAAGGACAAAGTCAGCGAAGAAGGATGTTTTTTAAGATTTCTGCTAAGCATTAAAAGACAAACAGAGGGGTATGAAATAGCCTTGAAGAAATGGAAGCATTTTTAGTTAATAGAAATTATAATTTAAATAACCCTAAAATTTGACATCACTCAAACCTAAGGGGTTATAAGCCCAATTATTTGTTTTGCTATTATATGTTGTGTTATTTCTTAGAAAGTTCTGGTCAGGATAACTGGTTGGGGCATGTTCAGGCTTCCTGTTGAACTGTCAGTCACTCTTACCACTGCATTCATGATTAATTCTGCAATTTGATCTGTGGCCACTAGGTTGCAGTCTCAAGCAAGACTGGGGCTATCTTGCCAGTCTAATTAGACCAGCCAGACCCAGGAGACATATGAAAATTATGACCCAGCCCCACCAAATTCAATGCTTATCCTAACATCTTCTTTTCAAGAAGAATCCAATTTCTTTATAAAATTAAGCAACTTTAGCCACAATGTTATAGATTCCTGCTCATTGTTGATATATCCCCAAATACAGACTGTTCAAAGTGCACAAACTAGTTGTCTTTAGTATATCCCGAAACATTTCCATCACTGCGGACGGCACCACTACTCGCCGGCACTCATTTGCTCTGTCTTCCTCCTTCTGGCCACTGGGATTCACTAGTCTCCTTTCTGCTGCCTTTCTAGGCACTTCGGAGAAATAGAATTGTAAGGTAGGGCTCCTTCAGATCTGGCCTCTTGTTTCTCAAGTCTTCCAGCTTTGTTCATGCTGGAGCAAAAACTAGGACTTCTCCCCCCTTCTTTTTATTGTAGTAAAAACACACCAAACTTACCACTTTTTAAGCATCTTCAATCGTAAAGTTTAGAAATGTTAAATGTGTTAGTTTTCATTGGGAAAATACTGCCTGCTCACTCAGCAATGATTCTTCCTTCCCCAACCACCACTCATGCTACTAAGACTTTAACTGCTTTACATAAAATGCGTAAGGTGGAATGCTACAGTTTTGGGTGTGTGCATGCATGTGTGTATGAATAGGTGTGTGTTAGTCACGTAATGTAGCCCAGTTCCTCAAGAGTCACCCTTATTGTACTACATGACAGGACTTCCTTCCACTTGAAGGCTGCGTATTATTTCATTACATGGAATTACTTCTAGGAGATAAGTGAGTCTAAGAGATGAGCTTTAGGGTAGACGTGTGTCCACATTTTCTCTACTGAGCTATGGATGGATGTTTGGATTGTCTGAGGCACTTTTCAGTTATAAATAGTCTACCAAGAACAGTGCCTCATTCTTTTTTTCTGGCTGAAGAATAGCTTTCATATAGGAAGATATAAGAAAGATGGAAGAAAGATATAAGAATATCTGGATACTGGCTCCAGGGCCTTACAGTCAATGGGCAGGTGCTCTAGACTACTGGACTAAATCTGCAGCACACCTCATTTCTTCTTTTAATTTTAATTTTATTTTTATTAATTACAGTTTATTCACTTTGTATCCCAGCTGTAGCCCCCTTCCCCATCCTCTCCCAATCCCACCCTCCCTCTTCTTCTCCTATGCCCTTCCCCGAGTCCCATGATGGGGGTGGTCCTCATCCCCTTCCATCTGACCCTAGTCTATCAGGTCTCATCAGGACTGGCTTCATTGTCTTCCTCTGTAGACTGGTAAGGCTGCTGCCCCCTCAGGTGAAGGTGATCAAAGAGACAGCTCATGAGTTCATGTCAGAGTCAGTCCCTGTTACATCTAATTTCTTAATGTCTGGAAATATGCCATGGGTGTCCTAATGATCTTTTGGTTTTGGCTGCTTGCTGGGAATTCAGCTTAAGTGTTCTATGATGGGATTTTCCTCTTCTCTGCTCTCTGGATCACCTGCACAAGAGTTCCACTAATTTTATCTTCTTTACTTTCAATCAGAATTTGAAGAAAACAATGGAAATGTGTGTATCTACCTGTCTAGGGTGACCCTAACTCAACTCCGAAGGGATGTAAAGGTGGAAAGAGCTTGAACACATATTGTAGATGTGAACGTGGTGCTGAGACGGAGGGAATAGTGCCTGAAGAGACCCTCAACAGAGGAGAGCAAGAGGAGCGCACAGTAGCACGGAGGTTCAGGGACCATCTTCTGATTGTTCTGCTGCGGCAAGGATTGTCTCATAGTCACGTCCATAGACATGCGGCAAAACTGGCCTTTGCCCAGATCTCTACCCGGGGCCCACTCGCTCACCTAAATACTTTAATCCCTCTGGGAAGGATCTAGAACTTGCCTACAGGAAATGTAGAAGAAGTAAAAACTTCACAAAAATGAATGAATGTTCACGGTGGAACGTGCATTATAATGAAGAAAATGACAGCCACATATTTATCTTTTAATACGTTAAAACATATGTATTTTCAGTTTATGTGTTTGAGGCCTCTGGGTCCTCTGGAAGAACAGCCAGTGCTCTTAAGCGCTTAAGCCATCTCTCCAGCCCCAACAGCTACATATTTACATATCAATATCTCCTTATTTGAAACTGGCTTGGCATCACTCCCAAATCCACACCACTGAGCACGTTGTCTCTTAACGTGCTCCACCGTCCTCCCTGCAATTCAAGCTATAACCTGTGATGGTGTAGAGAGAAATCGGTATATATCCTGAGGCTGGGGACCAGAGACCCAGGGTCCAGCCAGGAAGCTCAACAATGGAAGTACCATTATGGATTGTACCTGACGTCTTGGAAGAGCTCAGGGTGCCATGCTAACCAGGTCAGTTGGCCTGGAGGTTCCAGCTGACCGGAAGTCCCTTGTGGTCAGCCGGCATTTCTGGAACAGGTTAATTACCTCCTGGAAGTCCCAGTGCTGTTGATGGATGGCGGGGCCTTCTTCCATGCACGTCTGCAGAATCACCCGCTCTTGCCTGACATCGAAGCACAGGTGCTTCGGGCTGCCGAAGAGAATCTCCTTCCTGCTGGTGTGCTCCAGGTTCTGCGGTAGAGGGGGCAGCAGTTAGCATGGCCAAACAGGACGCCAAGGAGAAACAAAGGAACACACAGAAGGAGCCAAAATCTAGAGACCGTTTTCAGATTCTACTAGGGGCAACAACAAGACTCTGCCCAGGTTCTGAACTCCCAGAACCTTGGCCTTTCTCACGTTGCCATTTCCACATTTTGGCATGCTCCTGCGACATTCTGTATGTGGATAAGGCTGTTTTTAAAGGCTGCAGGTGCTGGGTGCACACTGCTGGAAGGTTGGGTGAGGGATCTCTCTGAGGAATTTCCCTGCTGTTTGTGCTATCTGGGAACTCTTGATCATGGTTCCTGTGGTCTCCATCATGGTTCCCATTGCCTCCAGGGTTTTGTAGAGCTGGGCTGTGTGGACCTTACAGAGGGACTTTAACTGTGTGGCGCCTGTGCTGATCCATTGGATGACATGTTTTGGCAAACCCACCTTCTGTTTGTTCCCGCCAGATGCAGTCTGCACTGATTTTCATGTTACCTCACACTGAGAAGGGCTAGCATCATGGTGTACAGCTTTCATGTTTTCCCTTCAATCTGTTTGGTTTGTATATTGCTGTCACTGTCTTGAAATGCTTAATAACTGTTGAATTAGAGGCATCACATCTCCCATTTGCATTAGGCCCTGCTAATTTGCAAATTGAATATAGTGGTGTGCCCTCCTTGAAAATTCCCGAACTGCACAGTTAGCATAAATTTGAACCCTAAGCACATCTCAGAAGCAAGCTTGTGGATAACTCTCGAGGGAGAGTAATGTTTTTTATACTCAAAATCCCATCTGTAGCGACAGATGACTTCCTTGTTGTTCCTTGTGGTCACCGGGGAGATACTTTTAGTTTGACTTTGCAAGGACAGACTACCCTGTGAGGGTGAAAGCTGGTAGTTCCAAGTCTCATTTTCAACTTCATTGCTCCAAATCACTCTGTCTTCAGTTGCCACATGAGTTTTAGTTCTTAGAGATTTCCCTTTCTTGTAAACTCAATGACATGTGCATGGAAAGGGGCATTTCATATTCTTTTTATCCAGCATTCACTTAGGTTTCTTTTCCAGGGGGTGGGGTTGGTCAGTTTACTTATTTTCCAATATTGCAGGCTTCAAAAGGCCTCACGAATTAAAAAATAAATAAATAAATAAATAAACGTACACAGAACAAATACTCCACCGGAAGCTGTGTCATTCCCGATAGCACATGAAAACCAAAGCCTGCCAGCTCACACAGCTAACCAGAGGGAACTGGGTTCAAACCTGACTCTAGATGGCAGTAAAAGCTTGGACAGTTGTCACCCTGACATGTGACTTCCTCTCTTGGGCTTATGTCTTCTCTCTTGTGTCTAGTGTGCTGGTGTGAATGTGAAGTATCCCCCCTGGGCACGGCTTCCCATGGTCAGCTCTGTGGCTTGTGGCCCTGCTTTGAAGGCTGTGGAGCATTAGGAGGTGGGGCCTGACTGGGGGAAGCAAGCCTCTAAAGGTTATATGGACCCCTGCTTCCGGCTTGCTTAGGCTGCACCATGTGAGCAAGCTGTCAAATACCTCGTACTCTTGCCACACAGATCAAGCCACTCCTACTGCCATGCCTCTCCCACAGGAAACTGAAATCCTCCTGAGACCGTGAGCTTTAAAAAAAAAAAAATAACCCAAAACCCCTTTTCTCCCATGTCAGGTATTTAGGTCAAGGGGACACGAAAGCTTACTAAAGTATCTGGTATGAATGCCCACTGGTATTTTAGGAAGGGATGGTAAAGTGTAAGGACGGAAGAGACCACGTGGATCCCAAAGCAACTTCTTCCCTGTGTACCCTCCAGGCCAGGCCAGGAGCCTGTACCCAGCACTTTAGGCTCACACTACAAGGCTGGACTTACTTCCCATAGGGATGTCCTAGGCTTGCACTGCGAGGCTGGGCCCCAAACTCCCCATGGAGATGCTTCCTCTTTCACCCCAGGCTCTCTGGCTCCCACTTAATTGCTATTGGCTTTCATTAGGCAATTTTGGAGTATGACAACACAATTAAGAGAAACCCCATCACAGTCTGAATCAGATCTGGGGCCAGGCTACCCTGAGAAGTTATTCAAGTTGTGAAAGAAGTGGATCCATGGCCTCCCATCTGGGCTGCACAGCTTTCTGATACCTTGGCCACTTACTCCTAGGATGACAAATTGAAGCACGTAAGAGACACTCAAAGGATCACAGTTCCCTTCTTAATGGCCAAAGGGTCCAGCTGAGTCTAGGCCCTGCCCCTGGCTTCATTACTTCTTTTCCACTCAGACTCTTGGGCCCTTCCTTAACGCTGCAGGATCTGAGATGGCTATTCCTGGGCTGGTGGTTCTATGACACAGTTTCCTCATCTGTCAGATGCAAAGGGCTGGATAAATAGTCCCTTCATTCCTTCTAACCAAGATGCTCCATCTTTAATGCTGGTCCAGCTTCTAAGGTGAGATGGCAAGGGAAGAACTGTGACAAAGTCATCACAGTGGGGGCCAAGGCCTGTCAAAGGCCGAGGGGACGTGGAAAGGAGCTACCCTGAAGGGAATTGAAGGGCCCTAGGAAACAGCACACACTCAGAAGTCAGGATGATACCTATCCTGAGAAACATCATTACGCACCTGTTGCTGCCGGTTGTTATTGCAAGGAGCCAACATCATGGGGCAGCCCAGGATATCCCCTTCTGCTTGGCAGTCTGCACAGAAGCCAAATCCAGTGTTGTGGAGCTGAAAGTGGAAATCCGCACAGATATGAATCTGACCTCTACTATGAAAATTCCTTAAAGCAGGCTCTAATCTCCTATCCTTTCCAGGCCTTATCCCAATATGTGTGCTTTAGTCACAGAGAGCCATTTCTCTTAAGACAGAGAAATGGAGTCAGGCCATATTCATTTTGGTGACGGTATCTTGCATGGGTTATAGGGAAACATGATGCCTCCCTCGGGCTGGTGGGCAGGCAGGGAGGGGGAGTCTACAGGCCTCTGGGACCCTGCTGAACCTGTAACTGGTTGCCCAGTGTAAGGGATGGGTGCTCTTGTCTCGGCACGTAACCCATCTCCCCCAGGCCATGCCTTGCCTTTCCAGAGAACCTGGGCCTATGCTCAGATGGATACAGCTTGGGGTAGACATTGGCCAGAAACCAGTGGAATGTCCGGCATCCCAGCCTCCTTTGCAGTTTCAAGCGCTCTGTGCAGTCTGGTTTTGCAACCTGTATTTGGAGAAAGACATGAGGAGTGAGGCCAGGAAAGCTTGTTTCACCCCTAAACTCACACAGTAGGGGAGGGCTAAATATGAAGGAGCAGAAGGCTTGGAACGGAGTGACCACACGTCTCAGCATTGCAGACAGGAGGAAGGGTCCTAGATTGAGAGAGGCTTGGGACATAGAGTCAGGTATCTTCTCCAGAGAGAGGTGTGGAACCAGAAAGAACGGAGGCATCACTACACTTCCCACAGACCCCCAAATCTTCAGCCTACAATGACCACAATGTCTGTTCCTTAAAGACTTTTCTCTGAAATGTGAAGAAATGATAGACTTTGTGCCTGGCTTGTGCCATGGGCCTCACAAAGCTGGCCCAGAGGCAGTGGAGACGAAGTTAGATGGGAAATTGCAGGATCAGGGAGGAGGGGAGGCAAGCTGGCTTTTCTTTTTCCCTGCATCTCAGTTTTCTCCATTGATGAACCATTACTTTGGCCGCACTGGCCTCTCTCTTTAATGTTCTCCTTTATAACACAACTGTAGGAGGGTGAACACCAGCCCTCAACGCTAGTTTAATGTTTCAGGCTGTATCGGTAAGATGGAAGAAAACATCTAGAAGGTTAGTATAAATTTCCTGGGAGAGAGAGTCTCTAAAAGGGGGTTGGGGGACTGGAGAGATGGCTCAGAGGTTAAGAGCACTGGCTCCTCTTCCAGAGGACCTGGGTTCCAGTCCCAGCATCCACCCTCAGAGGCTTCAGGTTCTTCCTCAAAGCCTCCTTTGGTACCTGGGCTATCCCATGCAGCCATAGTTGAAGCTTGCTCTGGGCTGTCTAGATTGGTGGTAAGTGGACTCCTGGTGAGAACTCCCTTTCCTCTCCAGTCCTCCACTACAAACCCAAGCCGGAAGCTGCAGTCCTGAGGTCCCTCTGGTGTGCAAAAGATGATGCTTGGACTCACACATGGGGACCCGCAGGGAACTCTAGCTACCTAAGCCTTGGGAATGAATGAAATTTTGTGTGTCCTCTTCCAGTAGACCACAGAGAGAAGTTCAAGGAGCCCTGAGGCTACTTGTCTGGAAGCTGGTCTGTGGAAGGGAAGGAGGTGGATCTGGATAAAAAAGAACGAGATCCTGAGGACTCCAGGAAAAGGGGTTACTGGGGCTCCTGCCCGGCTCACCCTCACCTGACTTTCCCTGCATGCAATGGCGTGGGTGGGTCTCTCTGACGACCCTGCCCCTGCCTATGCTTTGCAGTGGGCTGCTGAGAGACTAGTGGGAGCCATTTCCCGACTGTGCCGGGCCCTATTCGCAGAGCAGCAAGTGCAATGGTGGTCTGTGGCTCCCAGCAGACAGCGTGTGTGTCACCCATAGGAACTGACCAGCCAATGGTGAACTGAGAGGCCTTAAATCATAGATTTAAAACTTCAACTTTTCTGTGGCTTTTTTTTTTTTTTTCTGAGTCTTTATATTTGTTTGTATAGTCAAATCTACTCTTTATCTTGGGTAGTCCTTAACCCTTCCTTGATCACCACTGAGGATGAAGAACCCTCAGGGATGTGACTTGTCCCTTGTCTGGGCCTGCCTCCCCTTGGGCCCTGCCTGTGTTGAAAGGCTGCACCCAGTTCCTAGCATCCTATAGCAGTCTAGGAACTCTAGGCTGAGGTCAACTGTGATGCTGGCAGAAACAAAGGAGAGCCCCACCAGGGAGAAGGGTCACTCCAGAGGGCTAGCTCAGGGAAGCTCAAGGCGGAAGGAAGGGAGCTAAGCTGCTCCTTCTTGGCTGACCTTAAGCTGGTGACCTTATGTTGGCCAAAGACCCCTACCAGCCCCTCCTCACCTTGCTCAGAGCGAAGGCCTCTGGGAGGTGCCTGTAGAAGGTTTCTTTGAAGGGCCCTAGCCAGGTCTCAGCAATGCGAACCTTGTTCTTCAAGATGGACTCAGGGTCTGTTCTGGAGCTGGCACCTTGGCTTTGGTAGATGTGTCCTACTCGAGAGCAGGGAAGGATTTCAACAGAACCACCACAGAGCCAGGCCTGTCACGGAAGGAGAAGGTGAGTGGCTCTATGAGCAGCTAGCAAGACACCAGGAAGTCATAAGCCAGAACAACAAGTGTAAATCCCAGATCCAAGAGTGTGGGCAGCAGGGCCACAAGGTGGGAGGGGTAGGGGGCAGCTGTCCTAGGATGAAACTGTGGGGTGATGGCTGGTACCTTTGTAGCTGCCTGAACATGCCACCTGGAAACTCGTGCAGAGTCGGTCAGTCCTCCCACCTACCAGAGAGCGCTTCTCTAGGGAGAATATGTCTGCAGTGGCTAGGGAATTTCTAAAAGCCAGTGCTATCTCCTGCCCCAGAGACACCAGATATGAAAGCACCCACCCCCAGTCTTCTTCGCTCCTTCTAGAAGCTTCTCCCAGCTCCCTACCGCTCACTGGACAAGAAGCCTTTATTCTATGCTTGGTAACAGAAATTACAGTTGTAGTGCTGGGACAGGCTGTGGTTCCTGGAGTCAAAACACATGAGGCTTGGGGTTTTCAAACCCTATGCTTCAAGATACTCCAGACACCTCAAAGGGCACTGCAGCCATTTTTCATTGTTAGAGAAATAGTACACCTGGACATTGTGTAAACTGCAAGACTGATGTAATTCACACGTCCACACTAGCTTGGTCTGTCCATGTTACATGAAGGACATCTGGGCTGGGTTGGGTTTGGGGCGGTTGGTGTGACTGGAAGGCAGGGTAGTGACTTTCCAGAATGGTTCTCAGGACAGAGAGGCTGAGCTGTGCCCAGCAGGTCCTGAGTCAAGAGAATAACAAGCCGTTCATGGAACCACTCAATGCTAAGAGTGGCTTCACATTTGGCATGTGAGTATGTAAAAGATTCTCTAGGCCAGTGGTTCTCGGCCTTCCTAATGCTGCGACCCTTTAATCCAGTTCCTCACGCCGTGGTGACCCCCAACCATAGAACAGTAACTCTGCTACTGTTGTGAATCTTAATGAAAATATCTGAATTTTCTCATGGTCGTAGGTGACTGCTGTGAAAAGGTCATTCCCAAAGAGGTCACAACTCATCAGGTTGAGAAACGCTGCCCTAGATGCTGAGTTTGCCATAACATAGAACGTACCAGAAGCTCTGAATGCTCTGCACTGAGATGTGAATGACTGATAGTATACCTTCTCCTGATGAGGATTTTGAAAGTCAAGTTTACAGAGGAGGCTGAGAGCAAAACCAAGGTAGGCTACAAGAGACATGACCTGGGAGATGGGGGGAGGTTTGACATGTCTTTCTGCAATGACTTTATGTAATTTGCCCACGAGTTTATTTCCTACACCTGACCCGACCATCTTCCTCCAAGCTGACTACATACAGGGCTCCAGAGATACTGCCCATGGCCACCATTGACAAAGGACCTACCTTGAAGGATATCTCAAGATTGTCACTGCCCTGCGGCAACAGAAGAGGATCATAAGCTCCGGTGTTTTGGAAGTAATGTCTGTCCACAGCCACCACCTCTCGGGGTGCCACAGGGCTCCTGCACAGAGAAGCCAGGTAGGAGACTGCAGTTCAACCTCAATCACAAAACAGGGCCTGGGTGGAGCTTCCCGGAGGCAGGTCCAGTGAGGGAGACCGCCAACCGTGGGCTCTGGTGAAGCTCAACATTTTTAATTACAAGGCTAGAGCAAAGCAAAAATGTCTGAAATCCAATAATTTTATAAAGAGACCTGGGGGCTGGAGAGGTGGCTCAGTGGCTAAGAGTGCTTGCTGCTCTTCCAGAGGACCCAGGTTTGGTCCAGTACCCATGTCGGGCTGTTCACAACTGCCAGAGACTCCAGCTCTTGGCAATCTGACACCCTTCCTTCTGGCCAGCTATGGAACCTGCACACAACGTGTCCTCGTACAGACACATACATAAAAATAAGACTGAAGAATAGGGGAGCTGGGCTAGCTTGGGCCTTTATAGCTTCTCCTCAGGTCTTTTTCTACAGAAGGAACCACTGATTCACTTTATTCCGTCTGGATGGACGGCTGAGAAAAAGACTTTAGTTAAGGGAGGCAGGCAGTTACTAGGTCCAATCCAAAGGATATAGTCAGGCTCTCTTATGGCTTGAATCTGAAATGTCTGCCATGGTTTCATGCTTTGTACACTCCATTCCCAAACTGTGGTGCTGTCTTGAAGGCTTGGAGCTCTTCGAAAGTGAGACCTTGCTAGGAGACGTAGGTTGCTAGAGTGTGCTGTATTCAGCTTCCTGTCTGACCAAGGTGAACAGGCAGTTGCCACCACAGGCACCCGCAGAACTGACTGAGCCACGCCTGCTGCCCTGCCCTCCTGCCCTGATAGACAGCGCCCTCCGAAACCAGGAGCTAAAGCAAACCCTTGCTCCCTTAAATTTCTTCTGTCAGGGAGTCATCAAAAGGAGGAGTAAAGTAACACATACAAGCCCCTCTCTCTTCTCCTTCCCTCCCTCCTGCTTTTGTTTGCCTTTGTCATCTACTTCCTCTGCAATGTTAGGGTGAATCTAACTGGAATTCTGGAAGTAGATACGGTCTCACCTTCATTGGGGGGAAATACACAGGGCTTATACATGCAGAGAATGAGAAACCAAGAAAGGAAATTGGGATGGAAATAACAGTCCTCAAGGTGACATTACACAAGTGAGGCGTGGTAGCCGCATGTCTTTAAATGAGGAGGGTGGAGCTCTGAGTTCAAGGCCAGCCTGGTCTACAGATGACTCTGTAGACAGCCAGAGTTACACAGTGAGGCCCTGTCTCAAAAAGCAAAGCAAAACAAAACGAGCATAAGAGTGTTACACGGAGAAACACACAGCTAGAAAGCTTTTGCACAAGGGCTTTGCACTCAAAACAGATTTAATGCAGCCAAACCGTGGACATGCCTCAGGAGTTAAGTGGCTCAGACTCAGCCCGTTTGATGGACAGGGAAATGGATCACTGGCTTCAGGGTATTAAAACACCAGTTCATACACACGTGCTGCAAACCAGAACTTCAGTGGTTACTTGGTCCAGTTTCCACCATTAGCCACTTAATTCTCTGTGGCGTTCTCCGTGAGACAGGTGACCTCTCTAAGTTTGATTTTCTTCACCCCTAGTTGGGATAAAATGACCATGCACAAAACAACAAAAAACCAAAACCAAAAAAGCAGTTTGCAATTGAGCTTCTGGGGATGGAAATAAAAAGTTGCCTACAGTGCCAGGCGCCATACACGCCATATTTTAAGTATTAAGCTGTGCTGTTCTGAGTTCACTATTTCTCTCTGAAATTCATAGGGCTGTTGCTTTTTCTCTGTTGTTGTTCACCTTTTTTTTTTTTTTTTTTTTTTTTTAGAGGGGGGAGACAAGGTCTCAGGGCAGCACAGGCTGGCCTCGAACTCATGCTCTTCCCTTGGATGGGCTCCTGGTGTGTGTTTTACTTCAGAAGTTTGGATTTTAGGAAGGGGCATGCACACACCCATTGCCGTTCGCTTTGGCGGCTGCACTCTCCATGGGGTACACTGATAGTCTTCAGTGAGTGCGTGACTGCTCTCAGAGGGGGCTTTGCCACCATGCCAGTTCAGGTAGGCGTCTGCTGCCCTGTGCATTATGGCAACATGCTTGGTTTGCAGAGGGCTTTGGATTTGGCGGTTATCTGCTGTGGACTGTGGACTTGCACCAGCACCCAGCTGAGTGTATCAGGGAAGCAGGTGGGCTTAGGAGCTGCCTACCCTGGATTTACATCGTCACAATGTTTGGAATCCCTGGATTTACATTTTTGTGATGTTACGAGTTTAATCTACATTTCCTGGGCACAGTGAAGTGCAGACAGCTAGCATGGCTGAAACATTCCACAGTCCACAGCCCGCAGCCTGTGAGCTTGGAGAATAGCTGTTTTTTTTTTTCCACACTAAATTTGAAATGGTTTATTACCCAGCAGAAAATTCCTAAAAGATAAACAAAACTGAACAAAACAAAAATACAACAAAAAACCCTACTTAAATAAAATAGCTAAAATAGTTCAGAAAAAACCCCCACAACAGTAGGCACTGTCAAAGCTGGATCTGTTTTGAGAATTATGTCACCACGCTCAGCCAGCTAAGGAATTTGCTGTGTTACTTGGGGTCCAGATCAGCTAGGCTTCTTCCACATTCTCCCCCTGGGCATCCATGGAAGCTTCTGGAAGAGCTCACTGTACTCCGTTGATATCACAGCACTGTAGCTGGCTTGTTTGGTTTGCGCAACCACTCATGTACTAGGCCCTTTCATCAGGAAGCCGTGATACGGACAGAACAGCTTGCTGCCCTAGCATGGAGCTCAGGGAAGGGAAGGCGGTGGCAGGGCCTTACCTGACAGGGCTGATGGGGGATGGGAGGGCCTTCTGCTCCTGCTCCCCCGGGGGCTCCCATCGGAAATCCAGCTTCCAGTCCAGCACCCCTCTCTGCAGCTCCGTGGATGCAGAGTACTGAAGCGTCTTCCAGTCAATCGCGTCTATGACTGGAGACACCACTCGGCTCCTGCAAAGAAGCCAGGATCAGACCACTCACTAGCTAGGGGCCAAAAACAAGGTCTATGTAATGTGGCCCAGTGCGGCAGCTATGGGCCGCTCACACCTGCTGGCCTTGAAACTGCTTTGTTCCAGTAAGAATCTCAATTTAGAAGAATTAATATGAAAAAAAAGGGATGCAAAAACTTTCAATAGTTCTTTTGTATTGGTTATATACTGATATGCTTGGTTTACTAAGATACATAATTAAAGTGAATTTCATCTGTCTTTAATTTATGACTGTCTTTTACTTAATTTATTTTTATTTTATGTGCATTTGTGTTTGACTGCACTCATGTCTGCGTGAGGGTGTCAGATCCCTTGGAGCAGGAGTTACAGACAGTTGTGAGTTGCCATGTGGGTGCTGGGAGTTGAACTCTGCTCCTCTAGAAGAGCTCTCAGTGCTCTTAGCCACTGAGCCATCTCTCCAGCCCCATCATGGTGGTTTTAATTAAACACAGCCCCTGCTGGATGGCACTGTGCTGTGGCTGAAGGCCTGGATGTGCCTCATGCCCGGCAGCTGGCAGGTGGGAAGCGACCTGGGATGATGCAGCAGCTGGTTTTCCTAGAGACTGCCTTTTCCTCTAGAAAGCTCCTTCTTTAGAGGTGTGACTCTGCCTTGTTGGTTCGGCATTAGGGAGGGCAGACAGCACAAGGTGGCTGGAAGCTGGATGTGGCAGGTACCCTCGGCCTTCCGCATTGCTACTTTGTGAGGAAGCTGCCGTTAGCATGCCAGGATTACCCAAAACCAGTTGGTGTGGTGTGGCACGGCATGGTGTGGCATGGTGTGGTGTGGTATAGTGTGAGCAATATCAGACAGCTCAGAAAAGCTGGTAGGGCTGAGTCCTACACAGACTAGGAAAGGGGAGCCTAGACTTGCCCAGTTTTTAGAACACCACTGTGTAGAGTGTTCAGAAAAGGTAACTCAAATGGCAGAGAGGTGGTTTTCCTTCACGTTCTCGATGCTGGACAAGGTGGGCCAGAGGAAAGGTTGTAGAGCATAAAAAGATGGCCGAAATCTCAGAAAGCAGGGGCACGTGGAGGGAAGGCCCCTAAGTTATTAGAATCCCAAGCTCAGAGGCTCTGTGGGCTGTAGAAAATAGAGAAAGGTAGAGAGGAAGGGTGGGAGCAGATGCTAATAGAGGGGTCACATCTGTCACAGTGGAGGATGTGGGGGCTCTGCTGTGTCCCGCTCAGGCTACAGCGAGGACTGCGGAGCTCCGAGACGGCACTCACGCAGGAAGCTGACATGAAGGAGGACATCCGTGGTTAATGTGTCTCAGCGCTAGGCAAGAGGGGCTCCTTCTCTTTGAATGGTTTGTAAGAAGAAATCACACTTGGTACCTGACAGCCTGACCAGACACCTGTCCGTCATACTATCTGCACACAGCTTCACTTTTTTGGAGCCCCAGTTTCTCTCCTCATGAGACAGAAGCAGAAACCACCTGCCTGAACTGCTCAGTGGGGTGGGACGGGGCGTCTCTGAAGAGTGGGGGCTTGAGACAACAGCAGCACATAGTCCCCAAATGTCTGCAAGTGGGTTCTTCAGCATGCACTCAGGAGGCAGGGCAAAACGATCTCCAAGGTGCCCCTGAGTCACCCTTCTGTTACACCAGGGTGGGCATTAGACAGAGAATGGGCCAGAAAACTTGTGACCGGCAAGTACTCCAGGATTTTGAGAGCTGGCACATGAAACAGAATCAAAGATGGCCTCCTTGTAGGCCTGGTGAACTTTTCTTATGGTCAGTTTGCTGCTATACTTAACACATACCTCCTTTCCCTGTGGAACTGGGCCAAATGGGTCTGTCTTGGTTCAGGATTTTTTTTTTTTTTTCTGTGTGATCATCTCCAACTTCAAATGAGGTCACAGAGTGCAAGAACAGGAGCCAGGAGGTCTGTTCCTAACAGCTCCATCTGGCTGGGAGCCAGGATGTTTCAAGCTTGCTTAAGTGGCAGGGGTGGAAGTGACTGAGGCCTCTCCCCTCGCTCACTCCTGGGTGAGCTAGTTACCAAGGTTAGGTTTCCTGAATAGGACACTCATACTGAGGGTCAGGCTTAGGAAGCATTGGGGATGAGGAGGGAATGGGAAAGGCAGTGTGATAGGGGTCAAAGCAATGCTGGCTATGGATGTGGCAAGACCCTCTCAACCCCACATTCCCAGGTCTGGCTTAATTAGAACATGACACTGTGTAACACAGAGGAGCAAAGAAAGTTGTCAAAGAAAGCTGGTGAGAGAGGACCTAATGTCTTCTTCCTGTGGTCCAGGCTAGTGTAGAAATTTGTTTCCCAACGGTGTGTTACCACCTTAATGGAAAGCGTGTCAAAGTCAGAGGTGAAGACAGCCATGGAGTGTGCAGCCCTTCCTGGACAGCCTAACAGGATTGGCTGCATTTAAATGTGACAGAAGCTGTTCTCAAGGCTGGAAAACCTCTGGCCTCCCTTCCAACAGGAAAACTCCCCACACTTCTTATGAACCTCTGGAAACCCCAAGGGATAGACAGCAAATAGTGGAGACCAAGGTGCTTCCCAAATAGTGGGTGGCTGCTCTGTTCTCAGAGTGACTGCATCTGTGGACTCTGTCACCCAGACCCACTCCTCGAGCTGCAGATCCCAGGTGGAATGAATTACCTGTCGTCGGCTATTCTGCTGAGGAGGGGCTCCAGCCATCCCCGGTGGCACTCACAGTGGGCATCCATGAAGACCAGCACATCCCCTGTGGCCCTAGCGGCCCCCAGCATCCGGGCCCCGATGGTACCGAGCCTCTTGTAGCTCCTGAGCAACTTCACGGCCTCTAGCTTGGACACATACTCACTGAGAGCAGACTTCAGTTGTTCTGGAATTGACAGGATCCTGTCATTGGGGGTCACAGAGGCCGCAGCGAACAAGATTATGATGAGTCTTGACAGAGATCACTCTCTTAGAACCCACCGTGAGCGCGGGATTCTGAGCCTCCAGCGTGTTATGAAAGGTTTGAAATGGTTCAGTTCTCTCTGTTAACCACTAGGAGGGATGAAGTGGAAAACCGGAAGAGGAGAAACCTTGCAAATGATCTCTAAATGAGAGTATGCATCTCAGGAAAACCTGCTCTTGTACCCCAGCTTCAGGCTAAATCCAGAGAACCCAACCTAAGACAGTGGACAGAGAGGTCATGAAGCTTTGCAGCAGGTCGACCACCGAAGCGTTTGTTGTTTCAGAGGTTCCCTCCCAGTGGCAGGGTGGAAAGGGAGCGAGAAGGGGAAGGAAAAGAGAAGCCAGGGCTACTTCTAGATGTGTGCTTCTGGGAGGATGTGAAGGCTGTGGTTTAGCTGCCAGGCGCCCTCAGGTAGAAAGGGCTGAAGCTGAGAACTTGGGAGGAAGCCTGTCTTAGGTTTTTCTTGTAATAAAACATAATGACCAAAAGTGACTTGGGAAGGAAAGGGTTTATTTCATTTTAAAACTCTCAGGTCATAATCCATCGCTGAGGGAAATGAGGGCGTGAATTCATGGCTGGAACTAAGCAGCCCAGAAGCTGATGGGAAGGGACGACAGGCATGCTCTCTGGAGGACTCTGGCCAGCCAGGACCAAAAGAGTCCCTAGGTACTTTTGCCCAGCCCGCTGCTTACCCATTACCCCCAACAAATGCTGGCCAAATGGGCCCTGTGAACCCCACACAATTTCAGTGCCTCCAGCTGCTCCGACCCTCTGCCGTGGTGAGCCTGGCAAATTCAATATGGGAGAACCTCAAAAAGCAGCACTTAATAGAGGCTCCTTCCCTCCATCCAGCCCCCGACTCTCCCGTTAGAGAGGTGCTGTGCAGACCTCAGCAAGGGCTCGGCCTTCTGCCCAGGGCCTCTACTGTCCCTTGAAGCCAGAGCGGCTGCTAAATGTCATTGAGTTGAGCAAGAATGGAGGATTTGATCCCTAAGTAAAGACCAGAGCAGGGGTTATGTGAACGTGGGCCCTCAGGTAGTGGCATCGCTTTACTTGATTGCTTGTAACTACAGATACCTGGGCACAACAGCTACCTAGAGATCCTGGCATGAGCCGATGAAGGCACCGGGGATGGAGTAGGTTCTCACAGAGTAGGCTCTACTCCTGAACTATAGACCAGCCCTTTGTTTTCTTTCTTATTTTGAGATTATAATTTAATTAGAACATTTCCCCCTTTCCTTTTCTCCCCCTAAAACCTCCCATCCATATATCCCTTTCCCACGCTCCTTCAAATTCATGGCCTTTTTTTTTTTCACTAATTACTATTGCATACATAATGTATCTGTATTTCTAGATATCACCTGTTGAGTACATATAATGTTATTTGTATGTATGTTTTCAGAGCTGACTGTTAGGTATTAAATGACCAATTGGTAAACTCTTCCCTGGGGAAGGCCACCTTTGCTGCTCCCAGCTTTTCTCAGTTACCATTAGTTCTCTGTGGACCACTGTGCTTTCCCAACACACTTTGGCAAGTTTATTCTTTGTTTTCTTTGAGACAGAGTCTCAGTACATAACCCAGGCTGGCCCTGGACTCACAGAGATCTGATTGCCTTTGCCTCCAGAGTACTGGGATTAAAGGTATGTGCCACCATGCCTGGTTCATATTTTTTAAAATGTTGATACAAGTTCTCAGTAAATAGTTCAACCTGGCCATGAACTCCATCTGTAGTATAGGCTAGCTGTTGGGTATTGGTCTGATGCTTCTATTTTGATGCTAGTTACTGGCCCTCAAGATCTGGTTACTGCCTGAATAAACCTATCCTTGTTGTGTAAACATTATACCTAATTGGTTGATTAAAGGCCTAAAACCTGGGCAGGCAGAATGGGGTAGGTGTGGCTAAGGTTCTCAGGCTTTGGGAACAGGAGAATCATGGGGAAACAAGGAAACAGAAGATGGATGGGAAGGGAGGCGGAAGGAGGACACCATGATGGGTTAGTGTGGAGAAAAAACACATGGGGGAGGGAGGAGGAAGAATTCCAAGAATGTCGTGGATGGAAAAACAAGTATTCATAAGATTATGGATGGAAGGTGGCCCAGATTAGGATGGTTAAGCAGATGGCATTGGATGGGGGCTGGGAGGTAGATGGCGAGGTTATTGAAAAGATAGTGTAGGTAGAAGTCTGCCAGCCCAAGGTAAATAGGCAATTGTAAAATCTAAGAGGTGTCTGTGTCTTATTATTTGTGATAGCAGGTCAAATAATACTGCCACAAGAATTACAGAGCTAATAATAAATAATCTCATATAACCAACACCCCTTTTTATTGCCAACAGCTGGCCTTATCAAACTTGTGAACCCCCTGCCTCAGCTTCCTCAGTAGCTTAGATTACAGCTTCCCACTTCTACCCCCAGCTCCAGTCTGCGTTTTCATGGACTTACTCCCTGGGAGCTCAGGAAACTGAAGTCTGAGACCCACTCACTTGGAGGTCTGGCAGGCACTTTCTTTTACCGCCGTTTCTTGCCTAGAGTGTCCTGCCAGAGAAGCATCTGAGCACATCCAACAGTCTGGGCTCTGGGCTCAACTCTGCCCCACTTAGCATGACTCAGCTCTGGTCATTTCTCGTCTTTGGTCCTCAGTTTTCCTATCTGGACAGTAGGCAGGTTTTGGCCAGCACCAAGGAGGCAGTGAGCACACATGCAAAGGCCTCTTTCTTTAGACACTGCATCCTGGGGAGAAGCTAATAGGTTGTGTGGGCATCAGAGCCCAGGAGAACACCTTCCCCCGCCGCCGCAGAATCAGACTGAAGTGACCCTTTCCAAGGGCCTCTTGGGTTTACTCACTCCTGGGAGTTCCCTGTCCCAGGACTCTTCCTTGCTTGGACTGTTTCTCCTCTACCCTCTCTTGTTGCCTCTGGGTTTTTCAGTCATAAATTACTCATACTGGAGAATATGCTCCCTCTTCTCCTGAAGCTCTGCCTCTGGGGAACCTTGTGCATGCGCTTTAGCTTCCTCTTTTATATGGCATTTCCCTTCCCTCCCCACTTCTGGCCCATAGCCAGCCTCTCCCAATAACCTGGGAGCCATCTTCAGTTACCTTGCTGGCTGAGGTCATCTACAAGGATGATCTCCTGCAGCAAGGCCCTAGGTGCTGTGTCCAGGATGCTGTGCACGGTTCTCAAGAGCATGGGCCAGGCCTCGTCATGGAAGCAGAGGATGACGCTGGCTGTAGGCAGGCCACTTGCAAAGCGCTGTTGTAGACACCTGTAGGGAAAGGATGTTAGGGAGCTTTCCGGAGGAGCCTGCAATGAAGCCAGTGCCCTTCACTCTTCAAGCCTGGCCGGGCCACAGTAACCTTGGCTCCCTCCCAGTTCAGTGGCTCTCCAAAGGTTTCTTCAAGCAGACACACAGAAATCCCATCACCAGGACAGCAGCACCTTCAGGTCACAAGAGCCCTGAGGAACCGAGCTCCCTCTTTGTACTTGAAGGGAGCTGGCCACGCTCATTGAGATGGCAGCCCTCAACTGTACAATGGGAACGAACAAATGACAATGTCAATGCCTCAGATGAGGGAACTCAAGCCCAACAAGGGACCCAGGCTCCTCTAGGCCATGCCAGTGGTACATGGCAGAGCCCAAGACACTCTGCCTTCAGAATTTCTGGGTGATTTCTGCTTCTACCACCCGACTGGATTCCCTGACCTACTATATTGCCTACACCCTTGGGACTATGTGAGCCCCTAGGCCCTGTGGGGGACTAGGAGTTGGGCATCTGCCTGGTTTGCTGTCATGGAATCCACTGTGGAGGGAATGTGCTAGCACTCTGATATTCAGAGCAGCAGGACACTCACACTTTGCAAAAGAACCCACCTAGAGGGAAGTTTCTTTCTGGATGCCTCCTCAGAGGGAAATGAGAGCCACCAGCCTGGGCCTGGCCCTGTCTGAGGGACACAGTCCCCCAGTGCTGCTGAGTATCCCTCAGCCTGGTCCATTCCTCACCAGGGTGGATACTTTTTATGAACAGTAGTGACAAAGACTGAAAGAGGGACAGCTGGCTCTAGGTAAGGGCCTAAGACATCATAAACCAGCACAGGAGTGGGTGGGGCAGGGAAGACGGCTTAGCAGGTAAAGGCTGCCACTCAGTCGGAGGACCCCAGTTTGAACAGGACCTGAGTTTGATCCCCAAGATCTACATGCTGGAAGGAGATACCTGAGTCCGCACATTGCCTTCTGACTTCCGAGTGTGCCCTGTGTCACACACAGTAAATAAAATGCGTAACTAAAAATAAGAAGCAGTGGGGTATCTTGTTAGTTAACGAATTTCTTTCCAAGAAGGATTTTAAGCCTCTCACAAGAAATACATACAATGGGGCTGGAGATGTAGCTTGGCTTAGAGTTCTTGCCTGGTGTGTGCAAGGCCTTGAATCCCAGCACCCCAGGACTGAAAACAAAGTACAGTGAAGCGACGTTAAAACAGAGAGGAAAATTCAGGGAAATAGAAGACATATGGATAAGACATATGGATTTCTAGAATGAATGTGAAATTTGATTTTGAGATTCCTGACAGCCAAGGTGAAAAAAGGGGGGGGGAGGCTTATGCCTAATGGGATGATATCTATTTGAGAAGGCACATCTGGCTTAGTGTGTAACTTTATTTTGTGATAATTTAAGACCCCAAAGAAGGTGCCATCATTGTACACAATGTTGTGTTTCCTTCCTGGTGATGACTCTTTACACAGCTTCACAGAATCCTGTGGGCTCTGACCTGGTTCCATACCACGACCCTACAGATGTTATTTGGATTTTTACCAGTTATTAACATTACACTAAGTTCTAAAAGAAGTTCTGTTGGGCTTTAGAAAGTCCCTAAGTGGATGGCAATATCCTCGAAGTCATCCCCAAGACAAATAAAATAGTTTAAAATAACATCTAGAGGGAATGGTCTTCTCTATAAGGTTGAGAGTTGAGCAAGAGTCATTTGTATAGCTAGTAAGTGACAGGGCTCCAGGAGCCAGCAGGGAAGGCACAGCCCACTAGGTAACTGAGGGTTATACACTGTCCTGGTTCCTGTTTCCTAGCCAGGACCATGTGAGATCCAGTGCCATTTGGAAGCCGAGGACCAAGCTGCTTCAGCTCTTATGCCTTTCCAGCCATGATAGACTTAATTCCACGAGTCATGAGCCAAAATGAGCACAATATGCTCGCTTCCTTAGAGTGCCTCTGTCAGGCACTCAGTCATGGAGATGAGGAAAGTAACTCTTGCATTCAACATTTGTAGGATTTTACGCTTATTTGTGTGTGCCTGCTTGCATGCACGCCTGTGTGTGCGCTCACATGGGCGCATTTCCCCTTGAGCCTGGTGTGACAAGAAAAACAGATGAGTGCAAATGTACCGTCATCATTTTTGTAAGCTACTGTTTATATGTGTAATTAATTGATTAATTAATTAGGCAGTGCTATACTGAGCTCACTTACTTGGTGACCGCTCTACCACTGAGCCCCATCTCTAGCCCTTATTTATTTATTTTAGAAAGCTCCTACTATGTCGTTCAGGCTAGTCTTGAAGCCTCAGCCTCCCCGGTGCTGGGGTGTCAGTGTGGCTCTACCTGATTGCTGAATACTGCTGTCTTTACCCACTGCTCTGCAGCACAGACTTCTCTCATGTTGGTTTCCCTCTTCCTCATGAGGGGAATGCCAGCAGAGGTCAGAGCTTTTGTGAGGAACAAGTCTGACAATGTGCCTAGCGTCCAGCCAGGCACAGGGCAGCGACTCCTTTGGAGAAGGCGGCCTGTCAGCCTTAGCTCTTTCAGACACCTCTTGCTGCAGGTTCCACGGTCGTGAGCTGTGAGCATGCAGAGCAGTCAGGCCAGTGACTTCCCTGTGACCTTCCAGAGCAGCCTCTTTCAGGTTGTTGCACTGAAGCTTTGTCACTTCCCAGCTGTGCAAGTGACCCAGAATGCTCACTTGTGTGGCTTCTGAATGCTTAGGTCTCCTGAAGGGAACACACGCTCAGGTTGCTGTGAGGTTAAAGGTCCCTCGTGTTTTAAGCCCGAGGGAGATACTGTTTGCTCTCTCAGACCATCTCCAGACACACAACTATAAGAGGTGCCACGAAGGCCCTTTCAGTCTAGAAACTTGTTGTCATTGATTCTTTTCATTTGCTCGGTTTTTGTTTTGAGACAAGGGTTTCTCTGTGTAGCCCTGGCTGTCCTGGAACTTGCTCTGTAGACCAGGCTGGTCTCAAACTCACAGAGATCTGCCTGCCTCTGCCCCTTTAGCACTGGGTTTAAAGGTGTGTGCTACCACTGCTCAGCTAATGTTCTTGATTCGTTAGGGTCCCTTTCTAGTTAGGTGGAAAATAAGAGGACCTAGAATTTCAAGGATGTTCTGTTTCCAAAATTTCTGACTTTGGTGACCAGGCATAGTGCATTATCTCTTCAGACAGAGAAATGGTGAGCAGACAGATGGGCAGGGTGAGCGGTGGTAACACATAGGCTGACAAGGGCTCAATAGGTCTGATGGTCAAGGAGTGCAGGGCCCCACATAGCCAGGAAGGACTCCTGCAGCGTGTGGAAAGGACCTACTTCCCTCCCAGGAAGAAGCTCTCACAGCCTTCAAGATTCACCAATGCGGACCGCCTCCTGGGACAATAGGGAACCAGAGTTGAAGACCACCAAGGAATGAATGGGTGTGTCAAGGAGGACCAACAGATTCTGAGTGGGCTCCGCCTGTGGTGTGCTCAGACCCAGCACACTCAACACACCTCTTCAGTGCAGAGCCAAGCATTGTAAGTTAAGCATTGGCAAAGCCCCGGGGCTCAGAGCATGTCGGATGGTTCTAGGAAGTGCAAGGATTTTATTAATTCGGGCAGAGGGTCTGGAGAAAAGGCCTATGAGTGATGCAAGCTATACAGCTTCCAAACACTGTGGACGGAAAGGGTTTGAATACTTGTAAAGTTTGAATAGGTTTATGGGCCTCTGTGCTCCCCGAGATGCAGGCTCCATCAACTAGTGAGCAGCGAGAGGAGCCTTCACTATGTCCATAGCTGGCAGAGAAATAGAAAGTGTGACTTCCCTGAAGTCGGCCCGACTACACTTCCACCCACCTTGCTCCAAGGCACTTGGCTGAGGGCCTCTTAGGAGTTTATTCCTTTATAGCAAGCAGAGAGGAAACCGAGAGTGGCCACTGTGTCCTAATCCTGGGCCAGTTCCTTTGGAGACTTGAACAAGGGACACAGATCTGTGAGGACTATGCTTCCTTCAATAGTTTCCTAGTCAGCTGTTATTTTCAGTAATTCTCTCTCTCTCTCTCTCTCTCTCTCTGTCTCTCTCTCTCTTTCTACTACTATGCTTTTGACTCTGAACATGCACTGTCGTTAGCCTCAGCTTCCTCGTCATGAGATGGGGCCTTGGGAAGGAGCCAGTGAATCGTGCATGTAAATGCTTGGTTCCTGGCTTTGCTTATATGAGCTCAGAAAACGCTATCATTTCTCACAAGTCTCTCGTGGGTCTAGATGCTTCCCTAGGGCTCAATTTCCTCTGCCTGATGAGGACCCTAAGCAGAACTACATTAGAGGGCCGTGTGAAGCTCATCTAAGCAAAGAGACCCACTCTGTGCTTTGTCCCCAGCAAGCCTTCGCTAAGGGAATGCTGAGTGTCACCCAGTGCCACCTGGGGGACGCCTGGCTCTGAGTTCCTTCAACACAGCAGAAAGCAGAAAGTCTGACACTGTTCTGGAAATAACAACTGATGTTTCCCTGTGCCCCATCCATGTAATCCTTCTTCCCACCACTGCCCTAGAGCTCATAGGCCAGGTGACACTAGTGCTCTAACAGCTCTGCTTATAGGTAGAGAGAGCACCACGGCTGCAAACAGGCGTCCGGGGACAGTGGCCCAGGTCCCATTTCCTTATCCCAAAAGGAGCAGCTGATGTTAACCAGCCGAAGTTGGTACACACACACACGTCAGGATGTGACCCATGGCCAGCAGTCTGTGACATCTGAGTTACCCAGTTGTTCTAACCATCCTGGCACACATCTATTTCATGTGTGGGCAATGTTCTGTCCTTGACGCTTCTTTCACCCTCTAAGAGTTGGTGCCCTTGTCCCAGCACCCCTGGGAGCTGAGCCTGGCAGCTCCGGGGTTATGTGCTCCACCGCCTCTCAGAACTCCCCAGCAGGCCTGAACTCCAGCTGCCCCCAGAGACAGACACCTTGAAGAAGGCCCCGCAGCCTTCTCTGCTCGGCACCCCTTCCCAGGCCCTGCA